TCTCAAAAAAAAAAAATAAATAAATACAAAAAATTAGCCAGGCATGGTGGCATGCACTTGTATTCCCAGCTAATCAGAAGGCTGAGGCAAAGAATTCCTTGAACCCCGGAGGTGAACGTCGAAGTGAGCCGAGATCCTGCCATTGCACTCCAGCCTGGGTGACAGAGCAAGACTCTGTCTCAAAAAAAATTATGTTAATATTTTCTGTTATTATGTTATGTATTCTATACTATCTTTAATATATACACACATACTATACAGTTTCAATATATTAATATCATTAGAAATGATATTATCATTTAATTATGTAAATAAATGGTCTAATTATCACTAAAATAGCAAGAGGCAAAAGAGTACAGTGCCAGAACTCACATTCTGAAACCAGACACCAGTTTCAAAGGTGGGCCTTAGAAGTACTTGCTATATGATTTGGTCATGTATCCAATCACATAGTTACAGAGATAAGAACGTCACACAGGGCTGCTGTGAAGAAGTGATGAGATCACGTGTTTCAGGCAATCACGTTACAATCACGTTCTGGTGGCTGGTGTCTGCTCCTGGACTAGAACTCCAGGGAGGATGAAGGCCAAGCAACCAGACCAGGAACACTGGACCAGTGAGGAAACTGCACGTAGTTTCAACTCAAGCACTGCAGTCCTCCTGAGCTGTCAGGGAGAACTCAGATGTGCTGAGTGTTTCTGAAGGAAACAAAGTGTTCCTTCTATGACTAAAATTTGATAAGGATGAACTACAAGATTCAGGGAGGCTTTGCAAAGAATCAAGTAGCACAGAAAGTGCTTCAGAAAAATCTCACTGGCAACAATGAGATTGGGTGACTCTAGAAGAAATTTATTTGCCTTTCTTGGCACTAAATACTGAAGGATCAAATGAGCATGACAGACACATGAGAGTACGGTTGACCCTTGAACAACATGGGGGTTGCTGTCATATAACTTTTGACTCAAAAACGTAACTACTAGTAGCCTACTGTTGACTGGAAGCCTTACTGATTACATAAAGTCAATTAACAAGTATTTTGTATGTTATATGCATTGTATGCTGTATTCTTACAACAAAGTAAGCTACAGAAGAGAAAATGTTATTAAGAAAATCATAAGGAAAATATATTTACAGTACTACGCTGTATTTATCAATACTGTAAGTTTGTTGCGGTCTGTTTACAAGATGAGTCGTCTGTGGAAAGGGTGACACCCGCAGTGCAGACCTCAGTCTATGGTACAGATCAAGCAATTCAACTTTTTCTTGTAATGTCATGACTTCCCTCTGCTTTTGGAGAGCACGTCCAGCATCACTAGTGATACCTCATATGCATTCCATTGGGTTATGAAGGGTTTACAGAATTGCACTAAACATGATGAAAATATGCAAGAACTTCAAGAGATCACCTTTTAGTGTGATACAAAATTGACCAGGGAGAGGAATTGCTCATGGGGAAATGATTAGCATCACGCTGCATATTTAATTATTATTATTATTATTTTTCGACGAAGTCTCACTCTTTGGCCCAGGCTGGAGTGCAGTAGCTCTGTCTTGGATCACTGCAACCCCTGCCTCCTGGGTTTAAGCTATCCCTCCCGAGTAGCTGGGATTACAGGTATGCGCCACCAAGCCTGGCTAATTTTTGTATTTTTAGTGGAGATAGGGGTTTCGCCATGTTGGCCAGGCTGGTTTTGAACTCCTGGCCTCAAGTGATACACCCGCCTTGGCCTCCCAAAATGTTACATGCAGCATTTTAAGTGAATACTTGCAACACTTAAGCTCACGGCAATAGCAACAGGAAACGGCTATGAAGTTAGTGCAGCAGTATGGAGTTACTACAGTTAATTTTATGCAGTTATAATTCAATACTGCATTTTTACATTTGTTTACATTTCTCTCGACTACAAATGGCATCATTTACAGTCCATCAGTGTTTGTATGCATAAGTTTTGATGAATTTTAACTTTTTATAATAAATTTGTGTATATTTTATGGTGGTAAATTATAAAACAGACTAGTATCCACATATATTTTCTAATTCATGACCTACCTTACAATTTCTTAACGTTTTCAATATTTCTAGGCTGTGTGGTTCATTGAGTTTTTTCAAATGGTTGCAACTCTCAAAAAACACTTCCAATATATTTGTTGGAAAAAATCTGCAAATAAACGGACCCATGAAGTTCAAACACATGCTCAAGAGCACTGTACCTATTTTACATCCTGATCAGGATGCCTTATTTAAAACATACTTTATGTTAAAACGCAAACTCTGAATGAAGAGACCACCCAAATAGGCTTTGTGTGAGCAACATGGCTGTATATTCACCCAGGTGCAGGCGGTCTGAGTTGGTGGAGGGCAGTGGGATAGAAGCTAGTTTTATATGTTTGTGGTAGGCAGTGGAAAGTTACAGAAGTTACAGTTTAAGGTGCTCTTTTGCAAGCTGGGAGGGAGTCGCAGGGTCTGGAGTCACAAAGTTGACCAAGGTCGGTTACAAAGTCCAATGGCCTTGTAGATTGAGGCCGGAATAAGAAACAGTAGAAGAATGTCTCAGGATAGTTAGGCACCACCAGGGTTGATCGTCTTCCACTTTTCATGGTCTTCCAATTAGTTCACGTTTTCTAATTCCAGAGGACCCTCCAGAGGTGTACGTGCGCGCCATGGCGCCATCAGTCAGCCAAAAAGACCTTACACTTTTTTAATTATGAAAAAAGTATTTGCCATAAGTTGATTTCATTTGTTCAGATATCAATGTGTTGTAAGATTATTCTTGACCCTAGAAAGAATAATTTAGGAGCCACCTCCTATCAATTACGTGAAAACCCAGGAAAAGGGCATAAGTAAATTCCACACTGCTATTATTAACACCAGTCATTGACCCACCAAAGATTATCTGCGGTAATATGTCTCCCTCCTGCCTCTAGCTTCTGAGCTATATCCTGCCACCAAGAGCGTACGTCACGTTGAGAAATACCAACAGACTTAAACAGATTTAACAAGACCTAATTAAGAAGTTCAAAAGTCCTTCCTAAAATATAGATGCTGTCTTCCAAAGTCAAATTGCTTCTATCTGTTCTGATGACTTTCCTACCAGTGTGTGTAAATTAGAACCCACCAGACTTCTCCTGCATTTTCAACAGAGCAGGTGACATCTTTACTTAGTTTCCCTCTATCATCTCTACCCAACTGTCCTAAAACATTGCCCTTCTCCCTTAACTAGTACACACTTTTAACCGCCCTAGTCCAACAAATACAAACCCTTTAGCACACAGTGTCTTACAGATACTAGGGGATCCATAGATTATCTTTAAATGGCTGAAAGATGGAGGGATACCCTGGACTTCTCTGCCTCTCGAGTCTCCTCTTCCTCTCTGCCTCTTATGCACTCCCCTCCAGTCACACTGACTCCTGTTTCTCAAATAAACTAAGCAGCATTCCAACCTCAGGGCCTTTGCACTATCTGTTCCCTTGAGCTCAATACCATTTCCCACCACATCCATAAGGTTCATCCCCTGCGCTCTTCCAGGGCTCTTGAAATCTGACAACTTACCAGGGAGATCTTCCCCACCCCCCAGGCTGCTCACAGCATCCCCCCAACCAGTCCACATCTCTGCAGCTGTCTCACCACCTTCCCACTTCATTGTTTTCCATGGCACTTATCAACATCTGACATTTGCATATTTCTTTGTCAGACTCTTCCATATAAACTTCATGAAAGCAAGTGTTTTACATGTTTTATTTACAGTGGTAATCACAGTACCTAGGACAATGGATAGATACATAGAGGACACTCAACTAACATATGAATGAATAAATGAATGTTTGAATGAGAAGAAAACTCAGTATCAGAGTGAAACAAACAAGAAATTACTAAAGTGAATTGGTTAGAGCTTTTTGGGGGAAATTTCCTCGTTCCTGGGACCTGGCGTGTGCACGTACACATAGCCAAGTAAATGCTATTGTGAAATTAGACTTTCTTTCTTACGTCTTCAGGCTGTCTCATAAAGTACTTGAGACTCTAGGCCTTTAGCAATAAACTTGCTGATGCAACTGAGTTATAATATGGCAGAATGGATTTGGACACTAGTGTTAAGCTTGAAATGTCATAATGTGGTTGGTTTCTAAAGGACTAGTTGGTGACATGGTAAAATCACTGGTTGCCCTGATATGATAAGGCCACCAGCCCCTGTGATCTAGCCTTGTTGATAAAGATAAGGATTCCACCCAGCTGTTTTCTTTAGGGAGGTGTCCTGGCTATCTCCCTATAAGAACCTAAACAAACAGTACGAGCAGCCACCATTGCACCAGCCACGACTGCTCCTGGAAATGCCATCTCCCAATTTTTCCAGGCTCTGCCTGCGCCCAACCCTTATCTAGAGCAGAAAGAAACCATAACCCGTAATTTACCCCAAGGATCCCAACACTTCCCCACTCATTCCTCTGTGAGTCTCAGGAAGACAGGTTTGTTTTCTTGTGAGAGTCTGTGTCTCTTTGCAAAAGGTCTGTTTTCCCAAAAGAAAAGGAATTTGCTTCAGTTCTGCTTCTAGAACTAGAAAGCCAGGTCTTCACCAAACTAACGTACAAAGGGATAAAGTCACAGTTGCCATGACCTCAAAATAACATCAACAAATACTTACTGGGTGTGGGACATTGTGCTAGCTGCCGTGAGGGAAGAAGAATGGATATCTTTCCAAAGATCTTAAAAGATACAGACTCATTTTCCCTTAAAAACATTAATTACTTGGCCAAGAAAGGTGGCTCACACCTGTAATCCTAGCACTTTGGAAGGCCAAGACAGGAAGATCCCTTGAGCCCAGTTCAAGACCAGCCTGGGCAACACGGTGAAACCCCATCTTTACAAAAAATACAAAACGGCCAGACATGGTGACTTGTGCCTGTGGTCCCAGCTACTCCAGAGTCTGGGATGGGAGGATCACTTGAGCCGGGGAGGTAGAGGTTGCAGTGAGCTGAGATTGCGCCACTGCACTCTAGCCTGGACGACAGAACAAGGCCCTGTCTCAAAAAACAAAATATACTAAGCACTGAGCTCCACGAGGTTGTCAATATCCTCAAGAGGCTTTAGCTTTGTATGAGCTCCATTCTGAGAACCTGGGAGGGTTGAGTCTGTGCCAATATCCTGCTGTGCTGCAGGACGGAGTCAAGCCTTGACCTTTTGGGTCACCACCAGAATAAAGTTGCGGATAGAAAATGTAGTGATGGCCGGGCGCAGTGGCTCACGCCTGTAATCCCAGCACGTTGGGAGGCCGAGGCGGGTGGATCACGAGGTCAACATGGTGAAACCCCCTCTCTACTAAAAACACAAAAATTCAACTGGGCATGGTGGCGTGTGCCTGTAATCCCAGCTACTCAGGAGGCTGAGGCAGGAGAATTGCCTGAACCCAGGAGGCGAAGGTTGCGGTGAGCCGAGATCGCGCCATTGCACTCCAGCCTGGGTAACAAGAGCGAAACTCCGTCTCAAAAAAAAAAAAAAAAAAAAAAAAAAAAAAAAAAAGAAAAGAAAAAAAAGAAAATGTAGTGAGAGAGTGGAAGAAGGAAGATCAGAGGGGAAAAAAGGACCTCCAGCTTCAATCTGAGACAATTTTACAAGAAACGTAATGAAGGCTATGCACCACACTCAAGTGCATTCCAGATCAGGGGCTGGCAAACCGTGACCCACCCCAGTACCTAACGTTTGATGGGAAGACAGCCACAGTCAGTTTCTTGTTATCTATGATGCTTTTGTGCTTCAGATGTAGAGCTGAGCAGTTATGATACATACCATATGGCCCAAAAGTTAAAACTATTTACTATCTGGTCCTTTACAGAAAAAGTTTACCAACCTCTGGTTTCGAACATGAATGAGAGTTCTGCCAGTCTGATGTGTACTTTTGATCAGACAAGTAAGGCTACTCCAGGGATTTCCAGCTGTTTCCTTCCTACCTATTCCCCCTTGTTGAAATTGCCTGTAATTCCCTAGCTCCACTCTCCTGTTACATTAGGCCAAGAGTTGGAAGGCTGTGTGTACTTGGAGCTGCACACATCTGTGCAGTGGGTTACCTGAAGGGGAGATTAACACCAGCTTCCTTTTTTGAGACAGGGTCTTGCTCTGTCTCCCAGGCCGAAGTGCAGTGGCATAATGGCATAATCATGGCTCATTGCAGCCTCAAACTCCTGGACTCAAGGCAATTCTCCCACCTCAATCTCCCGAGTAGCTAGGACTACAGGCATGCACCACCATACTGGGCTAATTTTTTAATTTTTTTATAGAGGCAAGGTCTCACTATGTTGCTCAGGTTGGTTTGGAACTCCTGAGCTCAAACAATCCTTCTGCCTTGGCCTCCCAAAGCACAGGTATACAGGTATGAGCCACCGTGCCTGGCCAACACCAGCTTCTTTAGAAATGAAAGACCGTGTGAATATATTTTAAGAAAAGCAGTTTCCTGTATTCTTCTGTAAACATTGAGAGTTTATTTTATTTTTCCTCCAATGTCCTATGTGTTTGATCAATAATCACAGTAATTTTCATAACATTATATGGTTTGGCATGACGTTTTTCTTATTAAAGTAAAAATAAACCCGGAAGCCATCATTCTCAGCAAACTAACACAGGCACAGAAAACCAAACACCGCATGTTCTCACTTAGAAGTGGAAGTTGAACAATGAGAACACATGGACACAGAGAGGGGAACAACACACACCAGGGCCTGTCGGAGGTAGAGGGCGAGGGGAGGGAGAGCATTAGGACAAACAGTATTGCATCCGAGGTTTAAAACCTAGATGATGGGTTGATAGGTACAGGAAATCACCATGGCACACATATATCTATGTAACAAACCTACACATTCTGCACTTGTATTCCAGAATTTAAAATAAAAATAGCTAACATTTATTGAGCTCTTACTAAATGCCAGTCCCCATTCTAAGAGCTTTATGTGAGCTGTCCTATTGAATCCTCATTATTGCCTCAAGAGATAATGACTCTCATCACTATCATTTTACAGATGAGCAAACTGAGGAGGAGAGGGGTTAAGTAATTTGCCCATGGTCAGACACACAGTAAATAGAGAAGCACGGTTTCAAACCACTCCTGAGCCATGACCTTGGCCACTACATTCTGTACTGCTTGCCTCAAGAAATGTGAAAATAAACTTAACTAAAAAATCTAATTGGGAAGTAAATTCTCATCAGACATTCAACATTTAAGTATTTATCAAGTGCTAATACCAAATGCTAATATGGAAGGACAATATTAATTTTTATCTACATTGATCTATGATTTTCCAGATAAATACCTTAAAACTAAATTTTTAAAACCTGTAACTTTTAGTAATTTTTATTCTCTTCTGGGTCTTTATTGGACTTTGATTTCTTTCTTTCTTTTTTTTTTTTTGATTGGGAAGCATTTCTAAGTCCTTCTTTTCAAACTCAACTGTATAAGATGATCATAAACTAGTGATTTTCTTCTCGTTACATCTGAAATGCAGACAGTGAAAAAAAGCAAGACAACTAAAATCTTTTTCCATATTTTATTTAACTATATTTGTCAAGATACTTGCAAAGCCTTTGGAGGTCTAGAACAACATCTCTGGTCAGCAATGTTTCCTTTCTTGCACTTCAAACTCTCCTGATTGATCAGGGGCCTCCAAGTAGCAAGTTCTTCTTTGTTTGGGGATTCAAAAGATCAGTGAACAATGTAACTCATTCATGACATTTCAGTTAACAACTTTGAAAGAAAAGGTTTTTAAATTCCAATGAAACTCTTAAAAAATAATTGACTCTGCTTCTGCCCCCATGTTCTCCTCCAAAGAATCACACCTGAAAGTTTCCAATGATTCCACCAGAAAATTTCCCTCATGTTTTAATTAACATTGTGGGGTGGAGGTCCTATATGCTGGAGACTTTTGTATCTGTGTTTGATGCTACAACAAATAGTTTGAAAAACACTTTTTTTTTTTTTTGAGACAGAGTCTTGCTCTGTCGCCAGGCTGGAGCACAGTGGCGCAGTCTCGGCTCACTGCAACCTCCGCCGCCTGGGTTCAAGCAATTCTTCCGCCTCAGCCTCCCAAGTAGCTGGGGCTACAGGCGCGTGCCAAATGCCCGGCTAATTTTTGTATTTTTAGTAGAGACGAGGTTTCACCATATTGGCCAGGATGATCTCGAACTCCTGACCTCAAGTGATCCGCCTGCCTCAGCCTCCCAAAATGCTGGGATTACAGGAATGAGCCCATAGAGGATTTTTAAAGCGGTAAAACTATTCAGTATAATACTACAATGGTGGATACTTATCAGTATACAACTTTCAAAGCCTGTAGAATGTTCAACACCAAGAGTGAACCCTACTGTAAACTGAGGACTTTGGGTGATAACAATGCATCAGCGTAGGTTCATCAATTTTAACAAATATGCCACTTAGTGGGGTTGTTGATTATGGGGGAGGCTGCAGAGAAGGGTGGAGGAACTATTTCTGTAGTTTCTGCTAAATTAACTCTCTACAAAGGGTTAATAATAACAATAAATAATTTTAAAACCATAAAAGAATCTGAAAAGAAAACCAAAAAAGCCTCCTTTGTATTAACATTCGATGAAAGCATTCTTAACAAGCCAGGAATGCCGATGACCAGCAAAGTGTGTAGCACCCCCATTACCACTAATTATTGTTCAAGGCATCATTCTCCCAAAGTCCTGAATATTGATTAAGACTGGAGGGAGAACAATGACACTTGGAATTGATTTGACCTGCTTAGAAGAAAATCTCAGCCCAGTTCTCCATAGGTTTCCAGGTTACACCATTGCCTCTCAGTTTAAGTTTAACAGCCAAAGTTGAGACGCACACAAAACCAGAAGTTTTGTCTTTGGCGAGTCCACTCTGCTGGCAAACTTTGTCTTTCTCTAATGTTCTCTCTGGAATAGAGTTCACTCATTTCAGAGTTCTCTATTTCCCATTGGAACTCTGGCTACATTCCATGCCAGAAATAAACCATCATTCTACAGAAGCTTTCAGGAGAAAATTAAATTCACCATATTCTAAAAACAGAAAGCATTAGTGCTTTCCGATATTTTTTAATCTTTTTCTTTTTTTTTTTTTTTTTTTCCCCTGCAGATCTAGTCTGTATGCTAAAGACCAGAGTGCATTTTCTGGAAGAGAAAGAAAAATATCATCACAACACATAATAATGACAATGCAGACTAAATTTATGGTGCTCGATTCACGGAAATATATCAGACCAGTTCTGCATTTGGCGACCTGGATTGTAACGTGAGGAAGGTGCCTTGCCTGCCTTGGTTCTGCAAGAGTGAGGTTCAGCGGTGAGCCAAACCTCACTCTTGCAGAAACAGGGCAGGCAAGGCACCTTTAAAAAGCAGAAAAAGGATGGACTTGGGAATGGGGAGAGCAGAGTGCCAATCCTGGCCCCATTCCTAGGTCTGCTGTGCTGATCCACATTTACTTCCTCACTTGTGAATCAGCCCTGGTAATAGTTGCCCTACATACCTCACAAAACTATTGTAAAATGAGGTAATATAAATAGAAGTACTCTGAGAAAACACAAATTTAGTACAGACATAACATACCTAGATTTATCCAAGATGGCCCTATGCAAAATAACGATGTAGGTGGCATTCACCTAAGCGTATTTACTTTCTCGCTAGTGTCTCTTAGATAACTTCCTCCTTTGTCAAATATCCCAGAAACTGTTTCAACTGTTTCCTCTCTGCTGCTATCATTTTACCCATCACCCCATGATCACTGAATCCTCTTCACTCCCTCAGGACTAGAACCTAATGGTTTCCAACTCTTCATGGAGACCATTAGCCAGATAATGGTCTCACGTTCACGTGATCATGGAGATGGTTGGAGAGGACGTTCCTTCTCACGCCCTTTCACTGATCCCATACTGAATATTTTTTAACACTTACTAAGCTCCCAGTTTTGTTGTGTAACCCAGAGGGGCAATTCTAAGGGTAGAAACTTTAGTCTAAAAAGTTTAAAATAATGACAAGTTGGCAACAAGATGAGGGTGGCGTTTCAGAAGAGCCAATGCCCAGTGAATGTCTCTGATCATTCTTAGAGTCGTTTATGTCCACTCTGCCATCTTGCTATGCCGACCACATGGCTAGACCCCTAGAGAAGAATTTCCCAGAACCACATGAGTATCTCCGTAACAGACGGGAAGCCAGGGACTTCCATTCCATATATCCCCTATGGTGGCCAGAGGTCCTGGATGTGCCAGAGCAGCAGTGTGAAAGAGTTGTTTATTTCATGGAGACAAAAGGATTCATCCCACGGACTGCTCATGAGTACAACGAGGTGCCCTCCACATTCTTACACACTTCCGTTGGTCTCATCTTCACTGAATTCCAGAGAACCCATCATGTCTTAGGACTTTAATGCTGGAAGAAGCATAGAGACCATCTCCTTCAAATATGAGACAGAATCCCAACAGAAGTTAAAAGGTTTGCCCAAGTTTACACGGTTCCTCAATGGCAGACAAAATAGAGCAAATTTCTGTGATATGAACTTTGATTTGGGAGAATTAAGGGAACTCATCATTATTTTGATTAATAATATTTATTAACCACTTGCTATAATATTTCATGAAATCTAAGACCCATAAATCATAAGGTTCACCATTATTTTGTGAACCTCCAAGAGAGAAAGAAAACGCTAGCAATTAAATCATGACATCACTGATTGTTAGACATATTTCAGAGACGTTAAAGGGTGAATCTCACAATCAATGAAAAATGGTATGTACCAAGTTCTCTATGTACCTAACGGTGTCTAATTATCAGAACAAACTTCTGAGACAGACATTATTATTTGACCCATTTTTTATTTTCAGATGAGGA